CCCCCCCCCCTTCCCAACACAACGAAATGCATTAAATTGAGAGTGGATGGGGATGGGGAGTGGCTTAAATCATTGAAATTTCGACTGGATGTAAGAAGATGGTGAAAAGGGGAAATGCGTAGCTGATGGTAACAGGATACATATTTGTTTCTGGAAGATTTACATTTTGGGACACACGACGCTACCGCGATGCCTGGAAGAAAAGTGGCCAAGACGACTAGGGGGGGGGGGGTCCAAAAATTGTGAATTTAGCAGATTTAGGAGTTGAGAACTTGGGTTTTCAAGGTGCTTGCTGATCTGGTTTTTGATTGATTTGGATTTTTGATTTACCTGCATTTGATCTACCTGGAAATTTCGAGGATCTCAAGAGAGACTTTTAGAACCTTCTAGATCATTCTAGACCCTTCCAGAATCATTAGGATCTTTTTATAACTTTCCGGTGCCTTCTAAGTCATCCCAGATCCTTCTAGAACCTTCTAGAACATTCTAAAACCTCCCAGGTCCTCCTAGATACTTCTAGATCTTTCTAGATCCTTCTAGAACCTTCTAAATTCTTCTAGATCCTTCTTAGTCATCCCAAATCCTTCTAGAATCAAGACCCTTCTAGATCCTTTTAGATCTTTCTAGATCCTTTTCTGGATCTTTTTAAAGTTTTTAAAATTATTATAAATCTCTAAATCCTTCTAGAATTTTTCAGTATTTTCTAGATCTTTCTAGGTTCCTCCAGATTCCTCTAGAACTCTCCAGACCTTTCCAGAACCTTCTAGACCATTCTAAACCTTTTTATATCCTTCTAGGCAATTCTGGAATCTTTAAAGTGTTTTTTTTTGAACGCGCTAGGTCTGTCTAGACCCATCTAGACCATCCTAACTACTTTCAGATCCTTTAAAAACCTTCTAGATCTTTATAGAACCCTCCAGACTTTTCTAAAACCTTCTAGATCCTTCTAGATCCTCCTAGATCCATCTAGATCAGTTTAGAACCTTCTGGACTCTTCTGAATCCTTCTAGGTCAACCTAGATTCTTCTAGATTCTTCTAGAATGGATCAAATGTAATTTCTTTCTAACTTTTACTACTATTTCCAATTGCGTTGAGCCTTTAGAAACTCTGAAGCTAGAAGATGAAAAATAGAATTTCCTGTCAAGAAAGATTTGATTTTTCTCGCTCTTCTCTTCTCCTCATTCTCCCAGGAGAGCAGGGACTTTTTCTCACAAATCATAAAAATCACTTTACGAAAAAAAAAGAAAGAGAAGAGCTGTCTGTGTCTCTCACTCTACCACACTATTTCTCCTATGAATCTCTCACCACTTGCTCTTCTTCTTCGTTTTTCTGATTCCACAACTTGAAAATCAGATTCTCTCTTCTCCTTCTCGACACATTTCGCTGCCCCCATGGGATAACACTGACAAAATAGATTCCTTTTTTTTTTTTTGAAATTTCCTATTTTTTGAGGAGGAGGAGGAGATGAAAAAATTGAAGAGAGGGTTTTTGTTCGCGGGAGAATTGAGTGTGAATGGGATTCAGGCATTTTCGGAGATTTGGAAAATCTAGAAGGTTTTAAAAGAATCTAGGAGGATCTGGAAGGTTCTAGAAGGACCTGGGAGGTTCTAGAAGGTTCTAGAAGAATCTGGAACTCTTGATGACTTAGAAGAATCCGGTAAGTTATAAAAAGATCCTAATGATTCTAGGAGGAGCTAGAAGGATCTATAAGGACCTGGAAGGCTCTGAAAGGATCTAGAAAGAACTAGAAGGATCTATGAGGGTCTTGATTTTAGAAGGATTTGGGATGACTAAAAAGGTTCTAGAAGGATCTGGAATGACTTAGAAGGATCCGGAAAGTTATAAAAAGATCCTAATGATTCTGGAAGGATCTAGAATCATCTAGAAGGTTCTAAAAGGTTCTAAAAATTTTGAAGAATTCGAAAAAAAATAATTAACTTTTTTTTTTAATTTCGAAAATTAAAAATTGTTGAAAATGCTAAAATTCATGGAAATAATTTGAGTGGATTTTTTTTGTTGAAAATTTCGAAATTTTTTTTTTTAATTCTGAAAAATATAATGAAAAATGCAAAAAATCTGGGAAAAACACAAAATACTGAAAAAATTGAAAAAATTGTATTTCAGAAAAATTTGAATTTTCAAATTAAAATTGTCTTTTTGTTTGCTTTTTCAGTTCTTCGTGGCCTATAAATCCCTAACATCCTTCTTCTAGGCCACCAACTTACCGTCAACACCCTAATAGAACGCCAACCCTAACTCTTCAACTTCAAGCCTAATTATCTCGGTGCCCACAACAGTTATCAAAAAGTGGTCAACTAAAAAAATGTAGCTGATATTATGATAAACATTTTATCAGTTGACAAAGTTTTGATATCTTTTACAGTAACTAAGATAAATCGGCTTTCAGTAAGAGATCGGCAGCCGACAACTTATTCGGTAAGCAGCTAGCTTCAACTTTGAGCCTATTTATCTCGGTTCCTGTAAAAGATATCAAAAAGTAGTCAACTGATAAACTATTGCTGATAAAAAGATAAACATTTTATCAGTTGTCAACTTTTTGAAATCTTGTACAGTAATTGAGATATAGGAGCTCAAAGTTGACTGCTTGGGGGTGTGGGGCGTTATTAGTGTTTATGGTATTTAATCAGATCAATGTGATAAAAAGTTGTTTTTATCAGTTTCCTTTTATTTCTCATTTTCCTGAAAAATCATATATTTTTTAGAGAGAAAGAGAGGCATAGAGAAAATGCGAGCAACCGGAAAAATAGAGGAAAAAGTAGAAAAATATGAACAAAAAGAGAAATAGTGTGGATTATGAGGAGACGCAGACAGTGTTTCCTGCTATGAGCCCTCTTCATGTGCTGCTGGACGACGTCTTTTTTTTACTAATTCTTTGGAGAAAAAGGGTAGTAGTATGAGGAGGATGTAGTAGTAGTAGTATTATGGGGTCTAAGAAATGGAAACCTATGGAAGAGAATGGACCAGAAAATAAGACTTCGGAGGGACCGGAAACGACGGAATTTCAGGGGATTGGAAAGATGGTAAACTTAGGGGCTAAAAATAGGAAAATAACGTTTTGAAAATAAAAATTCACAGAATCCTGAAAATCCGAAAAAAAACATCTAAAAAAATCTTTTAAAAAACTGCTAGAATCTGAAATTCCGAAAATTAAAAAAATCTGAAAAATATTTTTCTATTTTTTCAGATATCTAGCGCTCATCATCTTCGGATCCGTCCTTATCATCTCCCTATTTGTCATTTTGACAGCAATCGTTTGTAAAAAAATTCCAGGATGTCCAATGTATCAAAGTATTCACTGTGAGTGGAACAATATTTTTTCCACCTTTAAGTTCAAACTTATATATCTTATTCCCTGTAAAAGATCTCAAAAAATGACCTGCTGATTAAATGTAGCCGATATTATGATAAACAATCTATCAGTTGACCATTTTTTGATATCTTTCACAGGAACTGAGATAAATTGGTTCAAAGTTAAAGGTAAGGGTTTCCAAAATTTGACCATACTATGCAATAGAATGCCTCCCAAACCGTCAACTTTGAGCCAATTTATCTCAATTTTTGTAAAAGATATCAAACAGTGGTAAATTGATAAAATATAGATGACATTATGAGAAATATTTTATCAGTTGACCACTTTTTGATATCTTTTACAGGAAATGAGATACTTCCCAAGAAGTTCGATATACCGTAAACACTCTGAAGACCCTTTTAACCTGTCAGCTTATATATCTCGGTTACTGTAAGAGCTATCAAAAAGTGATCAACTGATAAAATGTTTATCATAATATCAGAAACATTTTATCAGTTGACCACTTTTTGATATCTTTTACAGGAAATGAGGTGTACGGGCTCAAATTTGACGATTCGGGTGGCGTTCGATTAGAGTGTTTACGGTATATTTTCGAATTTCAATGCAATCCTTTCAAAATATGAAAATTCCTCAATCTCTTAAAAATACAAAACTACAGTAATCACCCGCTCCTCGGACTCCCCATCTGCGCTCTACCGTCCGGTAGATCAAATTCCGCCAAAAATGTACGAAGCTCCGCCCCCCTATGAGTGTTTCGTCCCGCCACCAACGACTTCAACGACGATTGCCACGACTTCTGATGATAATAATGAATGGAACTGTATTATGGAGAATGAGGTGGGACATATTTTTTGAAATTTCGAAAAAATTTTTTTTTTTTAATTTGTGATAATTTTAAAAATTAAGACACTCATCGTTGCCTAGAGCAATTTTCGTTCTCTAAAAATGCTCAATTTCCAGGTCAACGGCTCCCGTCGGACTCCGCCCCAAATCTCTTAGGCTCCGCCCCCTTTTAATTATTCTGACAATTTAATCTCATCCTTCCCCCAATTCAATCCGGGTTTCCAGAATCACGAGGTACATAATTTTCTTTTTCAAAAAATTTTTTTTTCGACATCATTTTCAAAATTTTCCTCCTGCTACTCAATTTGTATGTACTGTACTTCTCATCCCTATTTTTTCTTCTTCTCCCTATTTGCTTGTAATTTTTCCAAAAAATGTGATCTTATTTTTTGTAAAATTCGATTTTTTTTTCGAAAATTTTGAAAAAAAACTGATTTTGAATTTTTATATGTAAAAATCAATGTGCTGATCTGATCTCTCTGATTATAAATAAATGTGAAAGCTTGAAATTTTTTTTTTGATTTTTCAGAATTTTAGGATTTTTGAGATTTTTAGGTTTTTTTTTTCGAATTTTTAAAGGTTTTTCAGAGTTTTCAGAGTTCTAGGATTCTTAGGATGCTTTTAAAAATCTTCAGATTTTCAGAAATTTCAGAAATTTTCAGGATTTTTTTCGGATTTGCCTAATTTCATTTCGCTGTTTTTTTTGGATTTTTTGAATTTCCCGAATTTCAAGATTTATGGATTTTTTTGACTTTTTATGAACTCTATGATTTTTTTAAAAGTTTCAGGTTTTCAGAATTTCAAATTTTGTTCAATTTTTCCGATTTTCTGGATTACCGTAAACACTCTAATAGAACGCCATCCAAACTGTCAACTTTGATTTTATATATCTCATTACCTGTAAGAGATATCAAAAATGTGTCAACTGATAAAATGTTGCTGATATCATGATAAACATTTTATCAGTTGAGCACATTTTTATATCTTTTACAGTAACCGAGATATTTTAGCTCAAAATTAGGAGTCTCGCAGGGGTTACGGTAGCAGATGCCCAATTTTTTAAAACGCCATATTTTGGCTCAGAATTGAGCTAGAAAAGTGAAATTTAGTGCAAAATGTTCAGAAATTCAAGAAAAACAAATTGTTCTAATATTTAAATTCTTTTTTTTTTGCCTCTTTTCTAGTTTGCTGGGACATAACTTGCCCAAACGTCTTATCTTTTTTCAATGGATTTCCCTCCAGGCAATCAACTTTGAGCCCATATATCTCGATCCCTGTAAAAGGTATCAAAACGTTGTCAACAAAGAAAATGTTTATCATGATATCAGCAATATTTTAACAGTTTATTACTTTTTGATATCTCTCACAGAAAATGAGATACATAGGCTCAAAGTTAAAGGTCCTGGTGGCCTTCTATGAGAGGGTTAACGGCAATTTCAGATCCCTAGATCTCAATTTTTCCATAAATTTTCCTAAAATTTTACTTTGAGAACTTTCTAATTAAGTAGTCCAATTAAGTTTCCTCCTAGTTTTCCAATTTCGAAATTTACATAATTGCTAATTTAATTGCTAATAATTGGTAATTTCAGATACCTAGTTTTCTTTTTTTGAGTATTTTCAAAACTTTTAGATTCTAATTTTCGAAAATTTCCAATTAAGTTTCCAAATTCTTCTCCTAATCTTCCAATTTCGAAATTTACATAATTGCTAATTTATGATCATTTTTCACCCCCGTTGATGCAACATGTCCCCTTCGGAAACATACAAATTAATTGGTTGAGGATTTATAGCGGATTACTGTCATCGAAGTAGGGAATTAAAATTTCGAGGATCCTAATTATTGTAATAATCTAAAATTTCTGAAAATCCGAAAAAATACAAAAATCCGAAATTCAAAATCCCTAAAAATCTGGAACACCTAACACTTTGAAAATCCAAAAAAAAAATCCAAAATACCCATGGTTCTGAAAATTCTGAAATCCTGAAAATCCAAAAAATCTAGAAAAGTCAACATTTGAAATTCTGAAAATCTGTCAGGTCAAATCTGAAAATCTGAAAATCTGCAATCTCTAGAAATCCAAAGAATCTGAAAATTCCTAAAACTCGGACAACTTTGACAGAAGATATTTTTAATTTTCTTTTATTTTTTCTTTCTTTTCTCTTCTTACAATACGACATCGGGATAAACAGACAAACAGATAAATAATATAACTTAAATTTCAATAAAAAATCAATAAACAAGACTCTCATTAACTCTCTCCTGCGGCATAAAACATCCTCCAAACAGTCGCTTCAGACCTCCGCGTCTCTTGGTTTTTGAAGTTTTTCGAAGTTCCAGAAGCTTCTGAAGACGTCGGCACTCCGTTAGATGCTCATCGATGAGCTCCAGACGCTCCTGGGTTCTTTGTTGCTCAATTTCAGAGAGCCCTGTTGGATCAGAGGCTCGTGCACGGGCAGCTTCGATAAGGCAAATGGTTACGGTACCCTGAAAGAAATGAGATATTGAAAATGGGACATCTGGAAGTGAGGACAAACAGGGGGACCTAGGGATTGGCTCTAGAGGTTAGAAAATTTCCAAATTTCGAGTTTTAGAAATCTAGAAATTTCTGGAACTGGACATCCGGACAAGCAGAAATTCGGGAAATATCCAGAGCTATCTTAAGCTGTTCCGGAAAACCTTTAGTGGATATCCGGACATCCGGACACACATAATTAAAAAATTACTGAATCAAAAATTGGGGGACATCGGAAGCTTCAGACAGCAAAAGATCCCTAAGGGACATCCGGACATCTAGACACACAGAGGAAATACGCCTTACCTGATCAGCAACATCACTGTATAGATGGCACAAATAGGCCAAATCATCCAAGATATCCACACGTTCCGGATGATGAGATGGAAAATGCTTCGCGGTGATTCCAAAAAGCTCCGTGTAGCTCGTCTGGACCTGTTTCCAGATATCGACTCGTCGAAATGCCTTCTTATCATCCCCAACAAACTTATTCTTCGATAATCGATTCAATTGATAGAAGCAATTCAAGAGAACATCCGCGAAAATGGGAAGCATCGAAACCTGAGTATCCATTTCGAGCATGCAAGTAGCCGCATGAGCACACGACATGATCTTCTGTTTTCTCTGCTCTACAGTATCCTTTGAAGAGACTGTAGAGTGATGGAAATCGAGTTGGAGGCACATTGGATGTTGATGCATCAAACGGACGAGGCTGGCGATGGATTCATGGAACAGGGAATCGTCACGGTCTCCACGAAGGGAGACTCTGGATTGGCGGATTGATAGGGATCGATTTAGGGAGGGTCCGGCCCCTTTGGATTGTACAGGACACCCCAAATCACTTTCATTCATGTTCTCTATAAACGTCAGACTAGTCGGCTTGGTATTCTTCCTTGAGATCAACGACTTCTCCAGCTGCACTCCTAGCTTCTCTAACATCCCAAAGTTATGCGATTGCTCATCCTTAATGGTCCGCAACACAGGTGGGAATAGAATTGGAGCACTTTCAATTCTCCGTATAACGTCATCGATACTAGCCAATGTATAGGTAAGGAGAGTCTGTTTCTCAGCCATCAGGGATCCACAAATTTCCATTCCAGACGATCGAATATCTTCACAACGGCTGTCGAACTCTTCTGAAGTGTCCAGAATCTTGGTTCGGAGTTTGCGAAGATCGGTGAGGGTACGAAGTTGGTTATGGTGGAGGGAGTCCTCGGTGAGCAGCTCGTGGCCATTGTGATAGTTCACACAGCACTCCAGGCATACGATTGTCTGGAAAAAAAACTAGATTGAGACCTAGTACAGTAATTCAGCAACATCTACAGCTTCAAAAAACCATGGTAATCCAGCCACAGTAATCCTAGCTTCAGTAACTAGACCTACAGTAACCTATTTACAATAATCTGGCTTCAGTAGCTGTAACACAGCATCTTCTACAGTAACCAAAGCTTCAGTAGCTGAATATACAGTAATCCAGATACATCTACAGTAATCCTAGCTTCAGTAACTATGGTAATCTAGCTGCAAGAACTAATCCATCTATAGAAATCTGTAGATGCCTTTACAGTAACCCAGCATTTCCTACAGTAACCACAGCAGAACTACAGTACTCACCATCCGACTAGTACTAGTGCAATCAACACAGTATCTGGAGACTCTGAACAAGTTCTTTTGTGAGATCTTCCTCTGACAATCCGAGCATCTCAAATGTTTGCTCTCCTCCGACTTCTTCGCCAACGCCTTCATCTTTTTGGACACGTGATGATGACGTGGAGCCTTCTGATGATGGTCAGAAGACATTTTTCGAGAGACGCAGACATCTTTCATGGGTGGAGGAAGATCAGAAGGCTTGTCGGGTACCTCAATCACTGTCACATTTTGCTCTTTTCGCTTCCATAGATTTTCGAGGATTTCTGAAAGATTTTGGGGTTTGAGGTACTCGTTTATTGGGCATTATAGAATCTAGAAAGTTCTAGAACTGCGACATTTCAGAACTTACTGCAAAGATCATAATTGGTCGGCGCTTGACGAGCAGTCTTCATGGTGAACTCACGACGGCACGTTGGGCATTTGATGTAGTCCAGGAGGTAGTACTGTAAAATAAGGGGCTACAGTAATCCAGCAACATCTACAGTATCCCTTCAAGTAGAATCTAAAGTATACCCAGTAGGATAGCTACAGTATCCCATCTAGACTAATCTCGGTTCCGTAGCTGCGTCCACAGTCTCTTGGGTGGTATCTACAGTAACAAAGTCAAGTCTACAGTAACCTAATATCATCTACAGTAGACCTAGTACGATAGTTACAGTATCTATTTAAGTTAAACTTTAGTAGACTCAGTAGCTGAATCTACAGTAATCCATCTATAGTGACCCTGCCTTTGTAGCTCTGTCTACAGTAACCTAGCTGAATCTACAATACAGTAGCTACAGTACCTCTTGGGTAGAATCTACAGTAGCCAAACTAAAACTACAGTATCCCTAGCTACATCTACAGTAATCCAACTGCCCCCTAATCACCCCAATTTGCCCCAATTAACCCGAAACTAACCTCCTGATGAAGACAGAGACTGAAAATGCACGATTCACAGAAATTGTGTCCGCATGGAAGAAGTTTTGGTGGTCGAGTCTGATGGTTGAATGGCTCAAAACAGACTTCACAAGTGATGAGAGAGTCGTCGATCAGAAGAGAGTCCAGGAAGACAGACGACGTCGTCACGTCCGATGCGAAGGTCATTTTATTAGGGGGAAATCTGAAAATATTGAGTTGGAAAATCAGGAAGAGGGCTGTGGGCGTTGAAGAAGACGAAAAAGATTAATCCAGAAGGTTTAAAAAGCCTTTGAGACCGTCCTGAAGGCATCCAGAGAAGACCGGAAGCTTCAGAAAGCTTCAGAAGACTTCTAAGGGATTCTAGAACAATCTGAAGGTGTCAAATGATGTCAGAAGACTTTAGGAGATGTCTGGATGCATAGGAAGCAAACAGACGACTTTTAAGGGTTTATAAAGATGTCTAATATCTGTTAGAAGCCACAAAAATACGTTTTGAAAATTCAGAAGGCTCTAGAAGACGTCGAATACCATCCAGAAGACATACAATGACGTTCAAGGGATTCAGAAGACTCCAGAGACTCCAGAAGCCCTCACGACCCACCTAGGTAGATCAAAAATTAGAAAAACTGACTCAACAGGTATACTCAGTTATGATGTCTGCTGTCTTCTACTCCGGGGTGGGAAGAGGACGGCAGGTCGAAGGGGCGGAGCCTAAGGGGGGCGGGGCTTAGAAGAGGGCTGGTGAGGGGAGGAGGGAAAAACGATGAAAAGAAAGAGTGTTTAGAGAAAATGGTTTGAAACGGAAAAGTGAAGAGACGCAGAGACGAGAAAGAGAAGGAAATTACAGAAAAAAAATTTGGAAAATCTGAAAAAATCAGAGTTCAAAATTCTCTACAGTAACCTTAAAGGCGCATACCCTAGAATATATCAAATTTGAAACTTCTACGGTAACCTTAAAGGCTACAATAAATATTAAATTAAAAATTCTCTACAGTAACCTTAAAGGCGCATACCCCCTTTTTAATAGACTGTTGTTCCTTATTGCCACCCGGATAATCTTTTGTTATTTGTTATTGTCACCCCCACCACCCAAAACAGTACCATCTGCCCATCAAAATGACCCAAAACCGCCAAATTTTGGGATTAGGATCGAATTTCTATAATTTTTTGAAATCTGGAAAATCTGAAATTCCAGAACTTTTTTTTTTAATCTGAAAATCTCACGATTTTTTTTTGAATTTCAAAAAAATTTGGGGTACTGTAGAAATTTGAAAAATGTTTTTTTCCCAAGTTTGAAATGTTGACTTTTCCTAGGAGACTCAAAAAAGGGATATGTTTTGATACTTGGGAGGGAGAGATAGGGGCACCTGTCTGAAGTTCGGGAATTCAAAAAATTCGGAAGCGAGAGAGAAGAGAGGATTAGAGAAAATGAATATTTGAAAAATTTCAAATATTTTATCAGTTCGCAACTTTTTGATACCTCCGCTAGTTCAAAAGATAAAGGCGCTTAAAGGTGAAGGGTACTTTAAAGGCGCACATCTCAAAAAGGGGAAAAGTTGTCAAAAAATTGTCAACTATCGAAATAATTGTCTTACAATATTACAAATTTTATCAATTGACAACTTTTTCATATCTTCACTAGTTCAAAAGATAAAAGCGATCAAAGTTGTAGGGCGCGGCACGCATACTCTCTAGGCCTGCGTCTCATCTTTAAAGGCGCATATCTCAAAAACGGTCAAAGCTATGAAAACGTTGTTAACTACAAAAATTATTTTTATCAAATTTCACACATTTTATCAGTTAACAACATTTTTATATCTCTATTAGAAATTGAGATAATTAGTTTCAAAGATAGCACTCGCAAACTTTCCCACAGTTGTCTTGAAAATTCTCAAATTGTCGAATTTTCCAAATTTTGTTGGGAAAATCACACTTTCGGTGTTTTTCTTTTTTAGTTGGAAAGTGTGAAGACCGGAAGAAAGAGGGGGTCCCTATAATTATACCCCCTCCCTTCCGTTCACACCTATTTGTCGGAGCCCCTCTTCCCCCTTCCTCACCCATAGGTTAGATGCTTATAGTTTAAAGGCGCATAACTCTGTTCTCATGATAGTTAGGCAACATTTGACAACAGATTTGAAATTTTCAGAATCACATTTATCTAAAAAACTATTTTTCAAAAATTGTAGCCATCGAGATTGCTCTGAAATTCTAGCTTAAAAATGCCATAGATGTTTTTACACAAAAAAGAAAGTGATATGACCCGCAAAGTTCAAAAGCCCATAACTCTGTTTGAATGAAAGTTAGGTTGAATTTGACAACAGATTTGAAAATTTCAGATTAAAATTTATCTGGAAAATAGGTTCCTAAAAATCATAAAAGCCAAAATTGCTCTGAAATTCCAGATTGAAAATTGCATAGTGTTTTTATGCACAAAGAGGGAAGTGATATGACCCCCAAAGTTCAAAAGCCCATAACTCTGTTCTCAAGCTAGCTACGTCAATTTTGATAACAGATTTGAAAATTTTCAGAATCGAATTCATTATAAAAACTATTTTCTAAAAATCCTACTGTTTGGAATTGCTCTGAAATTTCAGCTTAAAAATTGCATAGCATTTTTCTAGACCTCTTTTTCTGCCAAATTCAAAAAGAACAATGAAATCTGAGACTTGTTATCTGTCCTCCACATCGCTTCTCAACAACTACTTCAGCTTCTCCTCCTAAAAAACATCTGTTGGGCATGGCTACTCCGGTCCAACCTGTATTTACCCGATTAAAATCTAGACCGACTTCTTCCAAAAAGAAGCCCTTCTTTGATCCGGATTAGCAGGAAACGGACCAAAAACAATCCTAAAACCGGTGACAAATAGAAAATTTGGAAGAGAAGCCAGCTGCCACCAAATCTAAGAATCATCTCAACACCATCAAGGGCGGATTGGGTTTCAAATAGAGGGGGAATAGGATTCCCGCTGTGATTTACCCGCAAAATACATAGCAGGATAGGTTTAAAGGGAGGGAGGAGGTTTGATATGAGAAAGAAATGAAGAATCAAGAAAAACGCCTAGATAAGGGGAACTTGAAGAAAAGAGAGGGGCACATTTTCAAGCTGAAATTTCAGAGCGATCCCAATAGGTAAGATTTTTAAAAAATAGTTTTCCAGATTAATGTGATTTTGAAAACTTCAAAACTGCTTTTAAATTTTAATTAGCTATCATGGCAACGGAGTTATGCGCCTTTTAAAATTAGAGAGTATGAAAAGGGACCTTGAGGATTAAGCCGAAGGGGGAGGGGGTCATCTTTCTTTGAACGTATATATCTCATTTCCTATGAAAGATATCAAAATTTTGTCAACTGATAAAATGTTTGTTATATTATCAGCTGAATTTTATCAGTTGACCACTTTTTGATACCTTTCACAGGAAATGAGATGTATGGATTCAAAATTGACAATATCTCTGAGAGCGCATCTTAAAAAAAACAATTAACAAATCGGCGAAAACTACAAAACAAGTTATCCATCACTTTCCAGGTCCAAAAAAAGGATCCCGATAAAATCATGCGCCTTTAAAATTGACATGAACATTTTTCCCAGGAGCAAAGTGTCATTATCGTCAGATTCCTATCGACGCCCATGTAAGATTTAGAGCCTAGACATTTTCAGACAACAGGTCATGTCCGGTCATTGTTGTCCATGAGCCTTTCAACTAGCTTGGTTGGCTACAGTATTCCTACCACAGTACCTATGCACCCCTTCAAACTTGTTTTCAATGCCTTCAAGCTAGTCTCTAGTTACAGCTTTTTGGCGTCAAATTGACACAGCAACATCCATATATATTCAGGGCACATGGTGGAAATCAGAGACTTGTTATATAATGATGTGGTCCATGCGCCTTTAAATTTACTTGGTTGGCTACAGTAATCCGGTACCTATGCACCTTTAAACTAGATCTTCTTGGTTATTGCGATGCATGGGCTTTCAATTTGGTTGGTTCTGCCTACAGTAACCTAACTACTTCAGCCTTTCAGCCATGAACTTTGAAACTAGTCCCCAGGGAGATCATCCTGGTTACTATGCGCCTTTAGATTAGGTTGGTTGACTACAGTAATCCGGTACCTATGCACCTTTAAACTAGGCCTTCCTTATCAATCTTTCTCCATTTACCTCCGGTCGGTATGCCTATCGCTTTCCTCCCTCATCCATTGTTTAATTACATAACGGAACATGTATATCCATTTAGTCCTAAAGAAAAGATAACGATCGAATTGTCAAAAACCCGAGCCGCCCGTTCAGAGGAGTAAAAAAGAAATTACGCAAAAAAAGACATAAAATGACCGATGACTTTCGGAAGAAACATAAAAATGGAAAAGAGGAAAAAGGCGAATCGGTTTGGGGAACAGAAATGGATAAAAATAGATTGGAGGAAGTGATAAACTACAGTAATCCTGAATGTTATCATATCAAATCCTATATAAATCTTTTTGGCGCCAAATTGACAAACCCAAATCCAAATGTATATCCAGATATCCAGGTCACATGGTTAAGATCAAAAGCATCGGCTATCTCCGACACTTTTTTTTTGCTGTTTGGTATCAGAAATCACTTTGAAGGGTAATTATATCCTGTTCGACTTGGAATTTCGAGAAAATGGCTTTAGAATAATAAATCGGTTTTCATAACAATAGTCTGGTGACAGGTGGTTTTTGGGAGGGAAATTATGAGAAATTAGCAAAAACCACAAGACAAATTACAAGGTCAGAGGCCTAAATACTTCAGAGAGACATACAAAAATTCTGCCAATTCAAGATTATCTGGATGAGGGTTTGTTTAAATTTGGCGCCATAATGATATATATATATATAGCATATTACTTATAGATAATGTAACTAAAGACTAGTTTAAAGGCGCATAGGTAAAAGGAACTCGCGAATTCTCATTTTTTACATCATATTTTGAATTCAGCCTGTGAGCTTCAAAATGAGCTCCAGCACGCCATGATTCGGAGAAGTTCAACATTTCGGGTGCGTCGCGGTCGTGCGTCGCGTGTTTTGTGCAAAAAATCAAAGTGAACCAATTTGCATCGTAATTAGGCTCATTTGAAAGCTAGCAATCTCAAAAAGTCTACAATTCTGTTTTTGTGTTAATTGGGACATTTGGAAGGGTGCTATGGTCCTAATTCTAGACTCTAGAG